TTTGGGTTGGCTGGCTCATTTCGGGCACCGAGCTGCCAGGTCCATGGTCTCAGTTCCAGAACCCTTTCCTTCGCTTCCTTTTCGTAGTTCTGGCCTTTAGAACGGGTTGCAGTCGAGCTGTCGATTGCACTTCCGTACTGCGCACGAAAGTATGCAATGGCTTTTTCATCATTCGTCCTGATGACTCTGCAACGTGGGCAACAAAAGCTGCCTCGTCCTCGTTCCCGTCCCCGTCTCGATCCGGGTTCCAGATGAAAAACAATTCCTCTTGGCCCGACGTGCCCCGCCCCCTTTTCGCACCGCCTTCCCTGGCTGACAATTGAAGCACTTTGGCATTTTCTTGGTGCGCTGCCTTTCAGCAGTTGCTTAATTCTGAGAGGCAAGTGTTGAATTTCCATGCTGCTGGCATTGGCATTTTTGTTTATATATTTTCATTGAGATGGGCAAGACGACGGGCTTGTGTTTTGTTCCCAGCGTTTGAGCATTTTGTAGCCTTTTGTTTTGCTAAGCGATTTGCTTTAATTAAAAACTCAAGTGGCGCCAGCAGCGGTAAGGGCTTCTCCAGTTGCCCCCTCGAAAAGGAGGGATCGGGCATCCAAACATCAAAACTAACGCTTCGCACATTCTGTCCTCTTTTTGTGTATTTCGGTTTCCCATTTTACGATTCACCCTGGCAGACCGCGAAGACGACACTTCAGAATGCATATTTCAATGTTTTGGTCTCGTCCAAGGTAATAAAATATTCGCATTGCGGAATTATGAAAGAGCAGCGAATTGGCATCTAAATCTTGTCTAGGAACCGGGCTGCGTTCCTGGCCCTTCGATTGTTTTGGGCCCATTAAAACCGCAACCCAACTGAACTGCTGTCACCTCTCGCCGCACTCCCGTGGCATATTCCTGCATCAAAGGGACGGTTTTTATGGGTCTGCATCATAAAACTGAAACTGAATCGCACGATAGCTGCGTGAAAATATTTTTTCTTCTTCAGTCGCCTCTGCTGGCAAACATTTGCGCCCTCTTCTAAGCCTAGAACTTCGGGCTGCAATTAAATGTTCGCTTTGAGAGGGGCGAGACTACAAAGTCGGGCGGCAGTTGGATCTCGTAAAACTATCGCAAAGTTCATTTAACTCTGTGACGGGGATCTGCCAAATCAAATTTATTAAAAGGAGTCGGTTCGAAGAGGACGAAAAAAAGGAAGCAAATGCATCGGCAGCAACAAACAATTATTTCAGGCAAAACTCAAAACCATAAAAGCGGGCAAACAATACCGAAAACTTTTACGAGCCTTGGGGAGATCCTGCGAGCAGCAGTTCCTGAAAGCATTTCATTTCGCTAAGAAACAAACGCACACAAGGAGCAAATATCCATTCGAATGGCACTCCAATTCCGTTGCAACTCGCTTTTGTTGCCCTGGCCAAAACGGCAATAAATGCATAAGTTTCCATTTTACGATATTTTGTTTCCATTTGCTGCCGCAAATGCTAGACAATCCTCCTCACCTCAATCCACGTCCGCCAAATGCACTGGGAAAATATTTAACGCCCACCGTTCTTCTGCTTTTGGTCTAATTATATTCGCCAGCTAATTTGTTTTAGTACTTTTAAGGTGTATGTAAATGGACTAATGCTTTGGCACATCAAAAGTGTCAGACGAACAGGCAGAGGTATAAAAATACATCCACCAAAGATCTCTGTTCGAGAACATGGCAGCGCAAACATCAAAGTGACATATAAACATGACAAAAAAATTTTTAAGCACCGCTATTTAAACAGTTTGCGCTTGCTTACAATTAAAAAAACAAGGAAGAACGCTATAGTCGGGTGCCCCGACTATTAAATATCCGTTACTGAACTAAAGGGATTTCGAGGGAGATGGAGATATAAAACTTTGATAGGGAATAACTTTTTACCGAATGGTCTGACTTTAAAAATTAATTCTATATTTTGAAAGGTATTAATAAACACAACCAAAAACGGAAAAATGTCGTCCAGACGGACAGATGGACATGGCTAAATCGACTCGAATTGTGATCCTGATCAAGATTATATATACTTTATAGGGTCGGCTACGCTCCCTTCTACCTGTAACATACTTTTCCCCGAATACAATATACCCTTTTAATCTACGAGTAACGGGTCCCTTAAAAGGTTTAAAAAAATATTATTTTTTTATGCATCGAGTGTCGTAAAGTCATCCAAATTTCATTCTGTCCTTACTTAAAATAATTATGTTACCAAGCAAATGTTTGTTTGTGATAAAATAGGACAAGTACATAAAAGATTAAAATACATGTAGGCTCGAAAGAATTTTAATGACTTTTTTTTTTGGTAGGTAAGTAAAATAAAAATATTTTTATAGTTTTCACTTAATTTTTTTCTTTATTTATTAATAACAATGAAGTTGCGTTCCTTGTTTATTTTGTACCGATAAGGTAGTTTTCCGTATACTGCTTGTTAGAGCATTCGAATTTGATGACCAATTTATATCTTTAACAAAATATTCAAAATTAATTTGAATGTTTTTTTAACCATAGCTTACAATCCATATTGTTTGATCTTAAAGAAAAGATCCCAAGCAACATCAGACTGACTTCCGGTTCATTTGCACAAGCAGCAACTTTGTAGCCCTCTCAGTGAGTTGTCCCCCCAAAGATTATGCATAAACATAAACAACAAACATTATACAATATATTTTGAATATTATTGTTGCCATACATTTCCGCCGATTTCTAATTTCCGCTGAGTTGCCATTAAAAAAAGGAGTAAATCGGTCGAGTTTTAATGCCCCTCAGTCATCGTCGTCGCCTGAGAGCGAGCCTGTTCTTGATACCCGGGGGCTGCCATAATAAATGCAATGCTAGCCATAAAAATAAAGCACAACAAAATAAAGGAATAAAAACAAAAATGTTATAGTTTTGAGCGAGCGCGGTTTCAGCTTACGCTGCTCGAATTTCGCCCTGACATTTTGCTCTTGTTTCTGACCCATTGGGACAACTCCTCCTTTCAATCCTCTGGTCGGGTTCAGACCGCTCGCACATTCATTTGTTTTTCGGTGTTCGTGTTTATTGTTCTTCGACGTCTTGCGTGCTGAGCGCCCTTCGGTGTTTATGGTGCCGCGTTACGCTTCCTCTTCTTTTTCTTTTCGGTTTTTAGTGGACACGCATTATTAAAAAATAAACAATAATGTATGGTGTATACAAAACCAGAAACCAAAGCAAACCAATCCTATCCGAAGCGATCCGAGCCGGAGTCAGCTTAACTCAAGGGCCTCAAAAATCATTTTCAGCTACTCCTTTTTCAGTGGAAACTTTTTCGTGGCAATCGTAAAAATTCGACTCAAACTGCAAAGGCAAATAAAAAATACATAAAAAAGCCAAAGTCAGGAAGAACAGAGAATACGGTGTACTCTATGGGAAAAGGATAAATGTCCTTTGACCAATTATAAACTTATTTTTAAAATTAATGAAACGTTAACAATAGCTTATGACAAAATTAAAAAATTTTAAAAATTGTTTTGGTGACAATTAATACTATTAATTTTGAATATTTTTGATATTTACAAGATCATCTTAAATAGAAATTATAAATTAAATTGAACTATTAATTCAACAAATGTTCTATAAATTTGTAAAAATAAAAATCATAAAAATCCATTTACAATCCTTAAGAATGTCGCTTGCAATTGTTTACCGTTTTTATTAAATAGTTTTTCTTAACAAATTCAAATTTATTGTTCATTGATTTTTTCACTGCTCTTCAGTACTTCATTGGCATTATAATGCAGGGTGGGGAAAAAGTGGTTTTCAATGTTATCTTGAGCTGAAATGACTATGACAATTAGAAATCAGGCAAAACGAATCGAAAATCGAGATTCAGCGCCTGCCGCATTATCTTAAAATGCGTCGTAAAAATCACATTTCGCATTATAAAAATCAAGCTCTCGGGTCGGGACGGGACGGGACCCAGCTGCTTCCCATATTGTGCGGACCTGGCTGCCGTTCCATCCGATCCATTCCATGTCATCCCAGCCACTTGGTCTGGTCGTAGGCAACGGTGGCTATAAAATTTGCTTTTACGAGCGCCAGAGCGCAGCTCATTGCTTAAGAGTCCGAGGACATGGACTAAGCCGCTGGTGAGCAGGTAAGCTGACCCAGGATTTCTTCTTGGCCCGGTGTCGTCTTTGCCTCAGCTGCCTTTGACTGACTGTCAGACATTACAATGATTTTAATGGATTTTATGGCCGAGACAGTGCTCCCATATGGGCGCGCTGGGATCGTTGGCATTAAAAAGTGGTTTAAGCCGAACTCGCACTTAACAATATTACCAATGCAGAATTAAATTTCTAACTGATTAACAAGCCGACAAACTTATTTAACCAAAATGTATTCAAGTGGTTTGCCTAACTAATAATGCTCTCCTCTCTCGTCTTTTCACAGCGATAATTAGGTAATATCAGCATCTACACTGGAGATCATTTCAATGATGATGACCCCAACATACCGAGAATGACAGAAAACACCAGCTTCTGCAGAATGTTATTTAATATTTAACCAGGCTTTGACATAATTCCAACGAAATGTGAAAATCAGAAAACACCTAGATTATGAAAATGTACTCCCACGAAAACCTTTTCAAATTGATCTCAAAAAACTAAAATAATAAACAATTCCTAAAAGCGATGAACTAAACTCTATTAGGAGTTAATATTAACAGCGATTAAAGTGTCAGTAATAGCTCTTCGTGAACACATTGTACATAATAACAGTTATTTGAAAGAGTTTCTCTACAAGCAAATAATCAAGAATCTTACATACATATATCGATCGGCACATTAAAACCTTTTTAAACCTACCATAGGCACAATTTTATATTAACAAGTTCTAGTCCTAAGCATGAGCACTTTAAATCGAATTCATTATTGTACAGCAAGCGATATAAGAAACGAAAAGATTTTCTGATCAGTGTATTCAAAATTGTTCCATATACATAAAACATGTGTAATTGATATGAGATTATCAGCTGGAAACGAACATTTTATTTAGCTCTTCTTAAGAATACTTTACATTTTTCTTCGGCTGTGCGCTGCTATGTGAGGAAAGCATGCGGTTTATTATTACCTTTTGATAACTGATCTGGCTGATCTGAAAGTAGTGTAGCGTACTTTTCTTAGCTTAAGAAAACACAGTTTCCTTTACACATGTAACATTTCTTTTCTACATTTTGACAAAAACCAAATATGTTATGCTATTCAGATTGTAGGGGAATTTGATTGTATCCGCTTAAACAAACAACGCGAAATATTAAAATAAGGATATCGAAACTTAGTAGAAGACATTTCAATTTTTAATGGAACTCATTATAGATCACCAAACACTTTAAACGGTATTCTAGTTAATTTTAAAACAAAAGCTTCGAAACAAAGAACTAAAAACATAATGAAAATTTACATTATCTTAAATAAATATTTCGCTGTAAATAAACATAGAAGCGGTTTTTTGAAATGCATATTCTGAACGAAAACTAAAATAAACAAACGCAACAGTTGTACGCCAGCTCACATTCCAAACAGACCTTTAAGGTCGTCTATGGTGAGTTTGGAGCTAACTGTGGAGCCGGTAAGGACGCCATTGGCCAGCTCTAATTTCTTATCTTGCAAGTCTTTGATTCGCTGCTCAACAGTGTCCACACACATGAACTTGTAGATAATCACGTCTTTTTTTGGCCCACGCGGTAGATTCGGTCCTGGGCCTGAGCCTCCAACTGTGGGTTCCAGTGCAGATCCAAAAGCAATAGGTGATTGCCACCAATCAAGTTCAAGCCCACACCGCCAGCAGTGAGGGAGAGCAACAGAATGCGCTTTTGATTGTTTTTATCGTTGAACTGGTTCACAATGTCCTGACGGTTTTTCACCGGAACACTTCCGTCGAGCGACAGAGTCGGCACACTATCCTTATGCAAATGATCACGTAGAATGTTCAACACTGAGGTCCACTGCGACACTACTATGGCTTTATCGTCCGAGCTCTTCAGAATCGATGTCTTGAGTATTTTTATAACCTGGGATATTTTTGAAGACGGGCGGTTTAAATTGAATACCGGGTTAGTGCGCCTAAGCAGATTCTTGGAAGCCTTGGCGATGCGAGCTTCATCTGGCTCCAGGCTCTTATCGGCTTCACCGGCAATGGAATTCGGAGACTCGGTGGAGGTGTCGGTGATAGCCAGTTTATTGAGCTGTGCTAACAAATCGATCTCCGGCGTATCGCTGTCGCTACTATGCTCGTCCATATTATTGGCCTCTTCTCCATCCAGCATCTAAAAAAATAGGTTTGGTGAAGTTAGTTAATACGTCAGCTTTATATAAATAAATTAAGTAAATAAAAATTCTACAATCTAAGCTCAATATTACAATATTAACTTTTACTCACCGCATCGATCAGCCCGGGATGACAGCAAATCTGTCGCAGGCGCAGCAATAGCACAAGAATATCATGGGACTTGACCTCCCTTGTGCTTCCGGCCATCCTGGAGAATTTTTCATGCATTTTATAATACGCCCCGTTGGGATCTTTAATTTGATTGTAAGTCGGTTTATTGGCATCGCTCCTGTAATTGAATGCAGTGTCTTTCTCAGCGCGCTGATGGAGAAACTGAGCGAACAGAGTCTTGGAATAAGTCATCACTGTTTGGTAAACATTCATCTCTTCAGTGCCCAGCTTAATCTCCATCAAGCGCAGCTCCTTATTGGGCAGATTGTTCAGTTTGCCATCCGACTGCAGCTGAGCCTTAGTGCGCCTCAGCATGAGCGACTTCATCAGGAGATTCAGGCGGTTTTGCCCGCCAGCGCTCTTGTTGTCAATCCACTTCTTCCATGTGTGCAGATCATCAAAAGGGGAGCAGCGCAGAAACTTCAGCAGGGCATACACATCCAGCTCCTTGTTTTGGATGGGAGTGCCGGTCAACGCCCAGCGATATTTTCCCCGCAGATCACTGACTGCCATCGATGACTGCGACTTGTGGTTGCGCACCACATGAGCCTCATCCAGGATGATGCGACGCCACTTGACGCCAAACACTGCACTCAGGTTCTTGTGCTCCCGCGCCACAATTTGGTAGGTGGTCACCACGATGTCGTAGGTGCGAAGGTGCTTGCCCTTGGTCTCGCGATTGTTGCCGTGGTGCACGCAAACGGTCAGCTTATGGCGCGCCACCTTGGACTCCACTTCGCTCTCCCACTGGCGCAACAAGCTGGCCGGGCACACCACCAAAGTGCCACCCTTGTGGGCTGAAAAATTTGGCATAGGTAAAATTAAATTAAATAAAAAACAATAAAAGATCATTCTATTAATTTACAAATCGTAAAAATTTTAAATTTTATATTATTTTGAAATTATTTTGTTAAATTTAATTCGAAATTCTGAAAAATTAAAAAGGGTCATATCCTAGAAGCTAAATTTATTTCCTATTATTTTGGCATCTATATGATATAGTCATCCGATTTTTTTAAAATTGTATGCCAAATTCAGAAATTTATAAAAAACAATGTTTACAAAAGTAGAAGGTAATATTTCAAAAAACACAGAAGCTAGAATTTTTTTCCATTATTTTTCCGATTATTCCTATGGGAGCTATAGGATATAGTTGTCCGATCCGGTCGATTCCGACTTATAAACTACCTGCAATAGAAAGAAGACTTTTGGGAAAGTTTCAACCCGATAGCTTCAAAACTGAGAGACTAGTTTGCGTAGAAACGGACGGACAAACGGACGGACAGACGGACATGGCTAGATCGACTCGAATAAAAATACTACTATACTATACTACTAAAATACTAATACTACTATATACAGGTACTTACTGTCCTTGCGGCCCTTCGAGTTCCAGCCGCCGGTGCTTTTCCTGTTTTTGTTCTTATCATCCTCGCTGTCGCTGTCACTGCCAGGATCATCGCCCTCGCTTCTCTCCTGACGATTCTTGCATGCCAGCACGGATGAGATCATGGTCAAAGTCTTTCCCAAGCCCATATCGTCAGCGAGGATTCCTCCGCGGGGAAGCTGACGTTCGCGCCACGACATCCATGCCAGGGCGTGCTTTTGGTGGTCCATAAGCGATACTTTCAAGCCCACAGGATCCTCCGCCAGCACTTCGGGACCAGGGCAATCCTTCAATGAGCCATGGAGATCCTTAAAAACAAAAACACAACTCATTAGCTGCAATGCACTTTGCTAGATCGAATGGATTTGCCCGCATCCCGTTTTCAGGTATCGAATTCTTAATCTTGGCCTGCTCTTGGACATCCGCCGCACAGTAACTCGTGCCCAGCGACCGCCAAATATGAGCATGCCACTCAGATATCCGTTCTGACTCATCACTTGGATAAAAAATAAGAGGCATAAAGGTATATAATCCTACCTTCAGAGATTCCAGGGTCAACGCCTTCTGATTGTTGAACGTGGCCATTCCCTGGGCGCCCGTAAAGACGGGCTGTATCTGATTGACCGCCGCCGACAGCTCGTCCCAGTCCGGGGCGTCGAGAGATGGGGCTTTGGGTGCATTAAACATTGGCTTGGCCACCTTGATGGGGGCCACTTTGTTTGGCTCCACCTTCAGTCCGCTGACGTATTGCTCGACTACTTGGAGCTCCTCGGCGAGGGTATTGATGCGCTTTCTAATCTGGCTGCCCTTGTCGGGCATCTTGTGGGCCACTTTTTCGAACAGCTTCTCAGCATCGCTCAGCTGAACACGCTTTTCGGCCAACTGGCGCATCTCCTCCTCGTAGACCGCCTGGCTGACCACCTTCTGGTCCTCGCTCTTCACCCGCGCATGACGTGGAGCGCCGGGCGAGGTTCTTTGTTTGAGCGCCGCCTGAATAGTGGGCTGGCTGAGATTCTTGGTGGTCTTGACCACTGGAGCGCCAGCGCTACTTCTTGGCGAGTAGGACCTAGACGGACGCACAAACGGAGGACCGGACATGTTCTCCTTGTTGTTGCTGGCGTCATCATCCGTGCTGGATAATATCTCAATGGGGGTCTCCTTGTTGCTCAGTATGAGCACGTCACTGCCGCTGGAGTCATCCATGGGCTCCAGGTCCGCAGCACCGAGGGTCGAGTGGAGGGTCTCCTGGATATTGCCCGCGAAATGGGTGGTGTAGCGCGGCACAAGAGGTTCGCCAGCGGCATCCTGGAGCGTCTTCTGCCCCTCATCGCTGTACTCAATCTCGCTGTCGCCGTCGCTGAAATCAGCGGGACGTATGCCAGTGATGCTCATGCGGGTGCTGGGAGACAGGGCGCGCTCTTCCAGCTCCTCGTTCTCCTCCTCGCTATCGGAGGCGATTTTCTGAACCTTTTTCTTGGTGCTTCTGGCGGTGGGACGCACGCTTTCGTCCAGCTCTTCCACCTCATCCTCGCTGTCGGATGCGATTCCCAGTGGCTTCTTCTTGGAGGTCTTGGCGGGTGGACGTACGCTATCTTCCAGCTCTTCCTCCTCATCCTCGCTGTCGGACGCAATTGCCAGTGTCTTCTTTTTGGAGTTCTTGGCGGGCACGCGCACGCTGGCGTCCTCGGAGTCGCCCGACTCCTCGGAATCCTCCGACTCCCCGGTCTCCTCCGATTCCTCCGACTGGGTCTCCTCCTGCTCCGACTCAGTTTCATCTATGACCACGCCAGCGCCCTTGCTACTGCGGCTGTTGGGTCGCGAGGACTTGCTTGATCGCCCTAGATCGCGTGAAAAGTGTACGAAATAAGCAAGTGTCAGGTACCGCATCCAATCCCCGCGAGCGAACACTCACCAGAACTCGTGTTGTTGACCACCGAATCATCCGGGTCGCTGTAATACTCATCGCTTTCACTGGACATTTTATTTAGTTATTTTTTTTTTTTTTGGCTTTGATTTCAACGAACGTTGAAAATGAAGGTTGGTCGCACGACTAGTGCATATGACCAGATACTTTGTCTTGAATTTTGTAATACACAAACTTAACCTAAAAGTGAATCCACACCACGAGGTCCCTTGCCCTACCCGGCGTGAAATGTGCGTGTTTCTTCAAAGGCCTGTGAATGTGGACTGAATTTAGTTATTTTATCAAAAATGCTTGCAAAATCAGCGCCATTTAATTCAGAATGACAGCATGTTGGAGGATGCCACCTAACCGAAATGTTGCCACAACTATCTATCGATAGTTTTCCAGGGATAACGCAACACTGACGCATCTCGTCGCGGGTAAATTCCGCAACAACGATATGTTCTGCTGTTCGTTATAATTTCCATTTTTAAATAATATATCTATTAGATATTATCTATCCAAAAAGTAATTTTTTACCTTAAATCAAATTAAAAACTGTATTTGTTTTTATCAAAAATCATAGACATTAAATAATAATTCAATTTTCATTACATTTTAAACATGTAACATGGACCATCTTTTGGTCGTTCCCTATATTGTTAGAGCTTTCTGTTGAGTTTACAAGAACTATTATTAATTTATTTTATTTCAGGGATTTTTACTTAGTTGCTTATAGCCTAGTACTCAGTTCGGCTAAGAGTTTTACTAGTCGAAAAATATTAATATTTTAGGGTGACCGAAGTTTTCGGAGTTCATCCGCAATGCATGTAGAATGGTCTTACTCTCAGCAAGCAAATTAACTGGCGCCAATTTTGAAATATTACAAAATGATTAGCCGACCTAGGTCGCAAGCTTTAAATTTGCTGTTGGAATGAGGATATGTATTGCTACAACTCCTACAGGCAGTTTTCCATTGGTTTTTGGGGTTTTCATTCTATTTATAATATGTTATTGGCACACCGCTTCTGCACAAACACAGCCAAAGATCAAATTTTTTATTCTTTGGGCCGCGGCTAAAGGCGTTCATCGGAATTCATCCGCTAAATCTAGTATTTTAGTGGTATTTTCTTACTATTTCCTTAGCTCAACTGAGTACCGAGGTGGGAAAAAGTCCCCGGCTAAGGGCTTTAGCTACCTATTTGCCTCTCGCTTACTCCTATGCTTAGCTAGCAGTTTTCGTCGTACTGAGTACTAGGCTTATGCAACAACTCCTATTTTTCGAAATGCATGTGTAAATCAAGTACATCGTCCACTCTAAAGTTCAGTAAACCTTATTCATTCACTCTTAAATATTACAATTATTTAAAAAATTACTGTAATTTTATTTTTAATTTCTTTTTAAAAAATAAATTTACTTTTTTAGAGGTAGCACAGTATTTGCTTTTTTTTCCTTAGTTTGTTTACGCAACAGTGTATGCCGTGTGAACGCTCCGCAGCAAATTTTGTGCTGTTGTATCTTATCACGAAAACTAGGAAACTATCGGAATGCTCTTTATCGACTTCCCGGAGTGGCAGCTTCCCGGACTTCTTCAAAAATATTGTAACAAGTGAAGTGTCGTCATTCTTTCTTGCGGTTTTTCAGTCTTTAGTGCGCGCAAAAAAGTTCCGAAATGGCGCCAGACAGTAAGATGCCAATGGAGCATTTGGTGAGCTAGTCTGTTAATTTAATCCACTTTCAGAGTCGGAAAGCCCGTACCCGAGATCGGACTCGCCGCCCTGCTGCAGTTCGTCTGCTATGAGAAGCGTAAATAATTCCTTATGTGAGTTTGGAAATTCTCCGTGTTATCCCATGGAAACTTCTTCTTCGTCGGAAGAAAGCGAATACCACGAACGATCACGCAGCGCGCAGGATGAGACAGGCGCTAACTTTGCGGACACTTCTGATGAAATTAGCAATCAGCAGGCTTCAGACGAGAATCTTGAATTGTCCAGTGGTAAGATTTTGTTTTAATAAGATATGATTTTAAGACCTTACTTTACTGGTAATTTGTTTCATGGCTCGCCAAAAGAATATGCAAACAATGCAGGTGCTATTTTCGTCAGCGCCACGGAGTATTCAGAAAAAAAGTCGCAGATCGATCAGCTGGTGCAGAAACTGCTCTCTCTGGAGCAGCAGCAGCGACAACTGGAGGAAAGTGGGGCCAGCAACGAGGAGCTCTTGGACTTAAAAGCGCGCCTGGAGAAGCTCAATGCCCGCCTGGAAGCACTGGGCGAGTTTATGGACACGCTGCGTGTGCAGGAGGATCAGCCGGCGGTCAAGATCAAGGATGAGCCCGAGCAGTTGGATCCCCTTGAGCAGATTGAGCAGATCGAGCAGCCTCAGTGGTCCAATCTGTACTCGGGCCTGAACCGCCATCGCCACAAGGCCAAGCACACTTCTGCAGAGTTTTATCAGCACAAAAGCAACATAATCGCAAGTCTGAAGGTAACACAATAATAAATGGGCTCTGAAAGCTAGGATCCATGCTAAAAAGGTTTATTAGATTATTTATAGCTACAAAACTTGCTTCGCATATTATATAAACTAATTAATTATTATGTAAAATCAACGTTCATTTAATTATTGTATTTATTAAGTAGAGCCCTGCATGAATGGATTTAATGAATTATTTTTAATTTTTTGTTTTATATAAATGAATTAATTTGAATTTTGAGTTTAATAGAATTGAATGAATGAATGGCATAAATTCCGAAATAATTCAAACGACAATTTCTTTTAAAGAAGAAAGGGCCATAATTTTGTGATTAAATCTGCCTAAATTTTATTTACTAAGCACTTAACATTGATTTGTTAAAAATTTTCCACTTTTTGTTCTCAAAAGAAAGAACAAAAAAATTCATAAAAATTATTCATTCATTCATTCATTCAATTCGAAATGAATTAGAAAAAAAACATTATATTTATTTCACATAGAATTGAATTAAACAAATCAGAAATTTTATGGCATGCTATGATAAAACAAAAATTGAATGATTCACGCAGGGCTCTATTATTAAGTAAACCATATATTTTTCAGACCCTTTATGAGCCCTCGGAGCCAAGTCCCACAATCGAAGACTTGGATAAGCAACCTGCACTCCTAATGGTGCGCCTCCTGAAACATCAGCAAGCTGGCTTGAAGTGGATGAAGTTCCGCGAGCGTCAGAAGATCTGTGGCGGAATCCTGGCCGACGACATGGGTCTGGGCAAGACATTGAGTATGATCGCCCTGATCTTGGCCTCACAGGAAACTAAAAACCAAAAGCGGGAGGAAAAGCAGCGAGCATTGAAGTTGAAGTGGACCGAGGAGTTCAATCGATTGAAGACTAAAAAAGTGCGCAAATTTCGCATGTTCGACGATGAAGAGGAGTCCGAGGAGGAAGAAAAGTACGAGCCACCAGAGAAGAAATTATGTCAGTCCAAGGCCAAGAAAGTCAGCAAGTTTCGCATTCTCGACGACGAAGAGGAAGCAGAGGTAAAGGAAGAAAAGCACGAGCCGCCAGAAGAGGCACCCGAACCAGAGGTTTTCAGTTCAGACGATGAAGAGCAGGGCTATGCAAACGTTCGCTATCCCTCGGCAAGCACATTGGTCGTGTGCCCCATGAGCGTGATGTGCCAGTGGGCTCAGGAAGTGTCCACCAAGGTGGCGCCGAATGGCATCAAGGTGCTGACCTTTCACGGACCCAGCCGCCGGGATATCGGCTTGGAGGAGTTCAGGAGTTACGATTTGGTCATCACCTCGTATAATACCGTAGTAAGCGAACTCAAGCGATATGGGAACGCTTCTCTTCTGTTCGCCGTTCACTGGAACCGGGTTATTCTCGACGAAGCTCACATCATTCGCAACGTGAAGACCAGTTGCTGTTCCTCAGTCTGCCAGCTGCGAGCCCGTTGCCATTGGGCCTTGACAGGAACTCCAGTACAGAATCGGGCCGTCGACGTGTTCGCCCTGCTGCGCTTCTTGGATGTACCAAATTTTCGGGACCTCCAACAGTGGAGGAGGTACCTAAATAATGGCATGCGTGGTCACCAACGGCTAAACTTCATTATTAAACCTCTAATGCTGCGCAGGACAAAGAAACAGTTGCAGGCGTCGGGAGACATGCCTGCTCTGCCCCCTCTGAAGGTTGAACTAATCTGCGTACAGCTTTCCGAGCCGGAAATGGCGGTGTACCAGATCTTGTCCGCCATCTCCAAGAGGATCTTCACAGAGTTCTTGAGGCAACGCGAGCAGGGCAACAGTGATTTGAATTATTATGCATTGGAAAGGACGCCGCAGTTTATAAATGAGTCATTTGACGCCAAGTATTTGGAGATCTACCACAGATTCCTTAAATCGCTCGGCTACAATCCGAAAGCCAAGATCAAGGGTATCGTTATCCTGGTGCTGCTGCTACGCCTGCGACAGTTCTGTTGTCATCCGGGACTAATGGTTGGGGTAGGTACTAACATATTTTTCTACCGCCTATCAAACTTACTAACTTACTTACTTTTCGCTAGATGCTGTGCGGTGCCATGACCGCCGAAGATGTCCAGAGCGTGAGGGTAGACGCTTCAGATGTGGAGAATTCTCTGAAGATGGATGTTCTTGCGGAATTGGAAAAATATGATCTACCTGCTAACGAAGAGGATTCGTTGGACGGGGAGGACAGTGTCCCACGAAGTGGAAATGTCAAGCTGAAGGACGAAAATGATGAGAAAAAGCCTCTGCAAGATGTTAAGGAGGAAACTATGCAATGGGATATGGATGATGAACAACCCTCGTCCAGTTCTGATAATGCATTCGATGGCGCCAGGGCTCTAAAGCTGCTTAATCCCCAGAATCCAATCTTTGAATTCATACGACCATCTGCCAAACTAAAGCTGGTTATTGCTAAGCTAGAGGAGCTACTCAATAATACCAACGACAAGATCATTGTGACATCGCAGTGGCTCGGCTATCTGGGGATCATCCGTAAGCGTCTGCAGGATCAGTCATGGGAGACACTTGATTTTACGGGCCAGATGTGCGCCAAGGATCGCGAGCTGGTATTGCGAGACTTTAACGCCAATAATGACAAGCGTGTTCTTCTACTCTCCCTCACCGCTGGCGGAGTGGGACTCAATCTCAATGTGGCCAATCATATGATAATGGTGGACCTCCATTGGAACCCGCAGCTCGAACGACAGGCTCAGGACCGCATCTACCGATATGGTCAAAAGAAGCCATCCTTCGTCTACCGCTATATGTGCCAGGACACCGTGGAGCAGCGAATTAAGGCGCTGCAGGATTACAAGCTAGAAATTGCCAAAGTGGTCATTCCAGAGGAAGAAGGAGGAGTTTCCCGACGCGGTGGCGGTGGCCTCAACATCGAGGAACTAAAGAAACTATTCTCAATGTGAGACCTATTACTCACCTTCGTCGCATGTTTTAGAAGTTTATGTTATTTGTTTTCCTTTAACCATTTAATTTGCGAAGGAGAAAAGCTTTCACTAAGTTCACTGTACAACAAAGTCACGCTTTATAATTTCAGTTTCGTATTTCTCTGACTCAGAATTCAATTAGGCGTTACAATTTCAGTTTCGTATTAAACTTAAACTTTCAGTTTCGCGTTTATGTTTTTAAGGTTTTAAAACCTTTTGTATTATCGTAATCTTGACTTCGACGTTGAATGTGATTAAGATCCATTATTGTGTTCATATTTATAAAGAGAATAATATATATATATATTGATATACTAAAAGTTATGAACTACACAATATTTTTAAATGCGTTTTGAGGTTGGGGATATTGAGGATACGACGAATCTGAACAATCTGGCTTATTCACTGGAGGATTAGAAAGAGACAAAATATATGTGATGCATACTGGGTTTTGATTGGACATGGCCACTTTAGAATTTAAAATTGAAGCCCTAAAAATCTAAAATATATTTCGGACAGAAGGAGAATCATACATATGTATGTGTGTATTTCAAACATAACACAACCGTTTTTTCCCAAAATGTTAAGTTGCTGAATTCCTCTTGAATCGGAAAACAGATGTTCCTTGTTGTCAAGATTTACGGAACTTTTTCATCTTACTTATATTTGCAAATTATTATTCCTAGTTACTGATTAAAATGATTAATAAGGTAAGAAGAACTTCAAATACAGTTTCTAATTTGATTTTACCGTACTGGTGATATTTAAGTGTTACAGCCTCAAAGTTGTTAAAATGCTGAAATTTCTGAAAATGCAATTTGTATAATTCATAACTTTAGAGATTAGCCTTATTGCAACAGCGAAGAAGATGTTGAAAACAGTTGACATAGGCCGCCGCTGTTGCAAAAAGGGCTTAAGCCGTGGAAGAAAAACCCCAAATGCAGACCTTTACTGAACAAACTGTAACTAGTTTAAATGCCTAATTATATGTATCAGATAATGTAGCATGTATGAAAAGATACCATTTTGAATTTATTTCCAGCAATTTTAATTATTTCGCTGTTTCTGAATTAGGTATTCCCCACTGTGATTGCAAATGCTGTTTCGCTGTTGCGGAACTTGATCGCTGTCAGAGTTGCCTTCTGCCAGAACAGGATGTTGACCTTCTCGAAATATATATCGATGTATCGATACAAATAGTATAAGGAGTCGCATCACAAGGCGGGACAAGTAGGAACAAGCTTCTGTAATACAAAATGGACGACAGCGACATACTTAAGTTCACGTGGAAAATGAGTGACAATAATTTACACAACGATGTCCAGGCGGGTCCATCAGTTCCCAATCTAGGACCATTGCCGAGCTCATCGCAGATGGTCTTTCAAAGGGGGGTCAGTGTGATTAATGGAGCACATTTGCAACAGCAGATTCCACAAAATCCTTTCGGGAATGCGGTACAGATGAGCACCGTGAGATTTGGCCATCAGAACCCTGAACTACTACCCCCAAATGTAACCATCTGCGAAATGGCTTTTAAATCGAAAGAGGAGCTGAACATGTGGTACGATGAGCTATACGAAACTATGGGTCAGGAGGCTGCAAACAAGTTCGCCGCTAAGGTCCGCCAGTTGTGGGAGCTATTTCCCCGACAGCAAAATCAGTATACCATGAATTCTAACCCGGGTCAACAACAACCTCTGGACCCTTTACCGCCGCTGGAGACTTACCAGCAGTTCGTCATGGGAATAGCTAGGCCCGGAAATTATCCTGCTCCTCCGCCCAGACGTTATTTCAACGGCTCTGGTCTTTACCATGAGATGGTGCAGCATCAGCAAACTGGTCAACCGCTTAGGCGCCACTCTGAGAGCAATGGTAAGAAAGTACATACATACATACATATGTAGTTTTGGAACTGCGGTCGGCACCCAATACCATCCAATTTTATTTTATATGTACATATTTGTGTGAGTAATTTGCAGTGTGCAGAGCGCTGTTCTACAGTGTATGTACGTGAGCGGCAGAGGATGGGCTGAATAATTCCCTAACCTCACTGAATAGGACCCTGCCGACCGCTAGTTTGGAAGGAGGATAGGGGTTTAGTGTTTCATTAAATTTTTATTTATTTTGCCCAATTGTTTATAAAAAGAATATGTTAAAATGAGAATAAATATAAAATATTTATTTTGTCCAATTGAGTATAAAAAGAATTTGTCAAAATAAGAATAAATATAAAATGGTGTAAGTGACTTAAAAGCAGTAACATTTTAGACAAAAAAGTTATTGAAATGTAACTCTATATGGCACTTATTGGGATCAGAAAATCGGATAGCCCACAGTAGTTAAACATACAGGTTCGCTTCAAAATATTGGCAAACAAGGGAATTTTTAAAAATATTTAGACTCAAAAAAACCCATATTTTAACATTTTCTTTGTCTTCCGAATAGCTGGTATATCTTTGCATCACAACAGGCCGTGCAACAACATAAACATTCATAATAACAGAGTGCTGAGCAATGGGAACACCTCACAGTCGATGTACCGTGTTCAGAGTCTAGAAGGAAATGGCATCCCAAGCGGAAACAGCGGTTACAACCACACGCATCTGCTGAATGAGGGCACCAATTTAATAGAGACGCAGTTCCAATCCAATAACTTGGTGGATCCTTCCTTAACGGATAGTGGTCATCCGCCCAGCCTGCTGTACTACAGCCATGTGCATTTGTCCCAGGCCATCCCTCCAATCGATCCCCAAAGCGACTTCTTTAACGAAAGAGCGCGGGTGGCAACGGTAATGTCTTTAAAGCCGGAAATCCAATCTGGTGTTAAAACAGAGGTACTGAATGAATCGATTAACACGCCAATGATGGAAAGCCGCAGTTTATTACGAACGCCAGTGACATCTGTAACTGTTCCCCAGTTCGCCATGGTCCCTCAGGGTCAGCAATGCCTGGAGGTAAGATATCACGGCTCATATTTAAGTTAGTTCAGTTTATCTACTAAATAAAAATTATTTAAATCCCATTTTCTGTTTTCAATTTGTAAAATATTTTTCAGACCCAGTTTAATACCACAGCAATGGTACAGCCTTTAAAGCAGGGAGTCCAAGCCGGTGTCGGAAGATCCTTACTGAAAGAATCGATTAGAACGCCAATGACGAAGAGCCACAGTGTATCACAAACCCCGGCGAGGTCTGTTACAGTTCCCCAGTACCCTACGGTAGCCTATGATCAACAATGCCAGAAGGTAAGCTATCCCGGCTAACAAGTATGATATACCCTTTTATTTAACAAACAATTTTCTATAAAATTGTCTTATATTTTAATTACTTACATTTTTTACTTTTTACAACGAGAAAATTATTTTCGCTAAAAATAAAATAATAGTATGTATAGTATATAATAAAAGTAGTTGAATCGATTCTATGCATTTCAATTGTTCATCTGTACGTCTTTATCATTTTATATTATTATTATTAAGTGTTCGACTATAATGTAAAATTTACAGGCGAACTTAAGTTTAGCTATAGCTACGGGGCCTTAAGCTAATATCATTTTATAAACTAAATACAAAATATTAAAATCCTATGCTATTTTTTCAAAATGAAAAATATTCTTCAGACGAATTTTAATCCCTCGATGCCAAGTCCCACAGCAATGGTACTGTCTTTAAAGCGGGAAGTCCAATCCGGTGTTATAACGACGGCACAGAAAGAATCGACAAACACGCTAATGATGAAGAGCCACTGTGTATCACGAACGCCAGCGAGGTCTGTTACAGTCCCCCAGTTGTCCATGGTACCGAATGCTCATCAATTTCTGGAGGTAAACTATCCCTTTTATGTAAGCAATACCATTTTGTTTAAAAAATTTAATTAGGATTAAACAGGCAGATTTTAGGGATTACTTCGTAGCGCAAGTTTGTTTCAATGCATGAGTAGCTATTCAAATTCTATCGCATTTCAGTTCTACCAAAAAAAATATTAATCATGTCTTTATAATTGTATAAACTAAAAATCATTGAAATCCGATCCTATTACAACATTTAAAATATTTTTCAGGTAAATGAAAATGCCTGTACGCCAAGTCCCACAGCCGAGAACTTGGTAAAGCAGCCTACTCTTCTGATGGTCGGTTTGATGAAGCATCAACAATCCGCTGTAAAATGGATGCAGTTCCGCGAGCGTCAGAATATCTGTGGCGGAATCGTAGCCGACGACATGGGTCTGGGCAAGACATTGAGTATGATAGCCTTGGTCGTAGCAGACAAGCAAATGCAGATTGATAAGGAAGATGAAAATGAACCACAATTGAAGCGTGTATGTCACGCTTCCCTAACTGGAGATTGCAGCTCAAAAGAATTTCATAAATATTTTACAACCAATGACTATCCCCCGGCAGGCACATTAGTGGTTTGCCCCAAGAGCGTAATGTCCCAATGGGCCCAGGAAGTGACCTCCAAAGTGGCGCCCAATGCCATCAAGACGCTGATATTTCACGACACCAACCGCCTGGCGGTCAAACTGGAGGAACTCAGGAGCTGCGATTTAGTCATTACCTCATACAATCTGTTGTGGAACGAGTACAAGAGATTTGGAAACAATTCCCCGCTGTTCGCCGCTCACTGGAACCGGGTTATCCTCGACGAAGCCCACATCATTCGGAATGACAAGTGCTGTGGCGGAATTTCTGTCTGCCAGCTGCGATCTCGTTGCCGTTGGGCCTTGAGTGGAACTCTTGTCCAGAATCTGGTGAAGGATATGCTCACCCTGCTACGCTTCTTGAAAGTGCCACAATTTCATGACCTCCAAGTGTGGAAGAAGTACCTAAATGAAGGCCTACACGCTCAGCGAGGGTTGCACTTTCTTATCCAACCTCTAATGATGCGGAGGACAAAGCAAGAGCTAGAGGAGTCAGGAGATTTGCCTGCACTACCTAATCTAAATGTTGAACTTATCTGCGTGCAGTTCTCGGAAGCAGAAAAAGCCGTGTACGAGATCCTTTTCGCCATTTGTCAGAAGATATTTACCAAGTACTTGGTACAAATCGAGAACTATGCTGTAGAAAGTACTCCCCAGTTCATAAATGAAATATTTGACGCCAAGTACTCGGGCATCTATCATGGATTTCTGAAACTATTTAACTACGACCCGAAAGTAAGGTTCAACGGTCTTGTTATCTCTAATCTTCTGCTGCGTTTGCGACAGTTTTGCTGCCATCCGGCTTTATTGCTTGGGGTGAGTAAGAAAATGCACTCAACAAATCTATAATCGATATATTTAATTGAATTTTTATATTTTATATCCCAACAGATGCTAAGTGGTTCCAAAACCGACGAAGACTTGCCGAACACGAGCTTAGCCTCAGACGTGGAGGGTCAGTTCAAAATGGATGTCCTAGAGGAGTTTCCCAAATCCGAGGGAACCACTGAGGAAACGGATCCCTTTATCGATGTGGACAGTGCTGAAGTAAACGAAAATGTTCAGCTAAAGAAAGAGCCACTTATGGCAATTAAGGAAAACATAATGCCATGGAGTATGGGTGATGAGCAACCGTTGGAAGCTGCTAGGGCTCTCAAACAGCTTAGTCCCCAAAATCCCATCTTTCAACTGAAACACTCTTCTGCCAAACTCGAGCTAGTAATTGATAAGGTGCAGGAAATACTTACGTTTACCAACGACAAGGTCATAATTATATCTCAGTGGGTCAGCTATCTGGACATCATTCGTACGAATCTAGAGAATCACTCATGTCAAACACTTTACTATACTGGGCAGCTGAGTACCAAAAATCGGCAGCTGGTACTGGACGATTTTAACGCCAGTAATGGCAAGCGGGTTCTTCTACTCTCCCTCACCGCTGGCGGAGTGGGACTGAATCTCCATGTGGCCAATCATCTGCTAATAGTGGACCCGCATTGGAACCCACAGCTGGAGCGTCAGGCTCAGGATCGTATCCATCGATTTGGTCAGAAGAAGCCTACCTTCATTTACCGCTACATGTGTGAGAACACCATAGAGCAGCGAATTTTGGCACTGCAGGAATACAAGTTCGCCAAAATGATGTTGCCGGAGATAGACGGAGAAGTGTACGCCCGTGATTACAGATGTCTCAATATCGATGATTTCAAGAAACTCTTCTTAATGGATAATGAGACGCTAATGTGAGATGATATATTTTAATCCGTTTTATTTTAATTCAAAAAGTTTCATATTTTGAAATCATTTCATGTAACCTTTTATATTTTTATTTTATCGTTTTAAAAGAACTCACCCTTGAATGTGATATAAGAACCTTTAGTGGATTATTTGGTTCGTTTGTTTAATATGTACTCATCATTGAATGTGATATAAGAACCATTAATGGATAAATGAATTACTTTCTTTAACAAAAATGAAAATCGTTTAAATAAATGTCTGTAAAAACAGACTTCAGTTCTTCTTGTAATCCTCAATAATTAAAACGACTAGGATATCAGTTGCCAATGTTAAAATCTATGTTTACACCAACGAAATGGAGAACTTGTTTAATTTTTAGTATATTTTTTATTGGTTGACTATATTTGAATATTTCAAGAAATTTAAACAGTTTTAGGGATTTCTTAATATTAAACGGAAGTAATTTCTGTTATAAAAAAATCTTTTTTCAAATGATATTGATTAGATCAAACTTAAGACGGAAAAACGATTTGTATGTATCAAACAACAAAATTGAAAGTTTTGAGTCAAGAAAAGTGTTTTATACATTAGGCTTCTTCTTTTTTTGGTTGTTTTCCAATTGGTAAACGACTAGCCATCCGTTTGGACATGATTTTCTCTTGGATAGATATTACTTTATTACTGTGAATGCGTTTTTTGTGCCTTTGCAAAAATCCCATATCTAAAAATACCAAAGAGCAAAATTCGCAACGGAACAGCTCACCGGAGTGACCACGCTCGTGCCTCTTGAGAAGATTTTCTGTTAGGAATTCTTCACTGCAGTAAGAACACTTCACTGGATCTGAATAGCGATTATGGGTGAGCAAATGGCGTTTTAAGTTGGAGTTACTGCAAAAGTTTTTAAGGCAAATATGGCATTTCGGTTTCCTGTTGGTAAAAATAGTTTACTATGAGGATCATAATGCGCCATGAATAACACACTCACTTGGTTCGTCCACCTGAGCTTGTCTTCTGATCTACGCTGCTGCCACTGCTGCTATGAAACCACTTTATAATCGGAATTTCGTTTTTTTTGACGCGAACTTCATCGCTGGTGTTACTCAGAAGACTATCGCCGTGGTTTTGTGGTTCTCTCTTGCTGAAAAGGTAAAGTAAGCAACACCATTTAATTATAATTTCAAACATAGTTATAACCACTCACCGTAGTCGCGGTGGCTCAAGAATATTATGCATTTTTAGATTCTCTTTGCCCAAATAGCTTTCTGAGCTAAGTTCGCAATCCATTCTGGTCGAAAATGGAAAATTTAGTATAACATAAGACTAGAGAAATCCGAAACTCACGGTTTAGACAGCGATTGGCCATTGGAGATGTTTGGTTTTACATCCGGATCCTGATCGCTCTCCTCTGAGTGGCAATCTTTCGTAGAATCCGAGCTTGAAGACGCTGTCTTCGGTAGGTGTTCCTTGCGGTGGATTTTCAGCTGAATAGCCTCGATAAATACGGCCGAGCACTGGTTGCAGGACAGCGGGCCGTCATTGTCGTGGATGTGAAAGTGTTTCTTAAGATGATCCTTTCGCATAAAAGCCTTTGAGCAGTGCGGACACTTGTGCATAGCCTTGCTAACGTGGTTCAGCAGATGTCGTTTTAGGCTGGCTTTTTTGGTATAGGCACGTGGGCAGTAGGGGCACATGTGGCACAGCGCACTGATATGGGTCCTCAACTGGGTCTGGGAATAAAACCTCTTGGGGCAGTGCGGGCACTTGTAGTTGCCATTGACATCACAACGCAATTGTCGTTGAAGGAGATCCATCCTCCTAAATATGCGAAAATTAAGTTTTTGTTAAATGGCATGACATCTAAAAATCATTTACCTCCTGGAATGAACCGTGTTCAGTGGTTTGGTGTCATCTTCGATGTCTTGATTTACATTCATTTCATCTACTTTGTGGCTAAACGAGACAATATTTGAGAAATTTGAAAAATTTAATTCTGAAGAAATGTTTTTACCCAGATGTTTCCTTGAGGGTCCTATCCGACTTTTCTTTTCTGGGAGTAGTTTGCCTGCTAAGATTTGGAATAGAGCAAGATCCCGCTGTAACATCTTCTTGGTTGTCTTGGTTCTTCGTTTGGGGTCTCTGCTTTTGATCATTATCGTTTTGTAGCTGGGTTTCTGACTCATGTTGCCCATTCTTTTGGGGCTGCGTTTCCAGGTTCGGATTCTGATCCGGATTGTTAAGCAGACGGCAGAAGTGCTGGTAGCTTCGCTCAGTCTTCCACTTGAATCGAAAGGCGTTCTGGGCGGCCAGGACACAGGTCAGGCAGATGAATTGCGGCAGAGGATCGCCGCGTTCCACGCTGCGATTGGTGCACTGGGCGAGGATGTGGGAGAGGCTCATCTCCGGCTCGTCAATAGTCGGATCGCGGATGTCGGCGAACAGATCCACCAGGGTTTCGGTCTCGTCCATACAAGCCCTGCACACATTTTGCAAGATCGTCATGATCTTTAATGTGCAACCAAAACCACAATATTATAGTAAATACACAGATTACTGTTTTTCATCAATTAAAAACCGAAAATTGCGGCGTTTTGCATTAATTGAGTAGGTAGTTTCGCGGCTTTACAGTTATTTTAGGAGATCATCCCTGGTAATTCATAGAAACGGTACATTTAAGTGAGCAAGTGTGCGCGCTAGTGATTTTTGACAACCGCTCAAAAAGTGATCCCAGTGGATTAGCGAGGGGCGATTCAAACTAAGCTTTGTTTCTGTTCTATGTAATTAATACTATTTTCAGACGAGAGAACATAAAATATGAATATATATTATTAAAAATATAAATATTAAAGTAAATGCATTCAAAATAAAAATATAAAACAAACTATGAAAATACTTATCCAGTTTTATATAGGGGGATTCCCTTAACTGTTGAATTGCTGAATTGTTGAAAATTCAACAAAAAATTTCAGCAACTAAGGGAACGACCCAAAATGGTTCCTGTTGAATTTTCAAACAGCTGTTATTTGTTGAAAAATTTCACGGAACTTTAGGCATGTAAAATTTGATTTATTATTGCTAGTTAGTGTCTAAAAGTGTTTTAAAGGTAAAAATAACCACAAATATGCTTTCTAAGTTGATTTTAAAATAAATTATGCGTACTGGTGATACTAAAAAGTTACAGAGTTGCCACGACTTTTAAAAAAAGGTGACAACTCTGGCTTTTCAGCAATTCAACAAAATTTTCAACAGCCCCGAGGCTGATGAATTGCTGAAATTTCTGAAAGTTGACTTTGTATGGAACAGCTGATTAACAGCTGACCAAAATTCAACAATTCAGCAATTCAACAGTTTAGGGAATCCCCCTTATATTTATTTTATTGTACTTGGAGTAACCGTTGTTTAAATATTTATAATAACCTTTTTGTAAAAAAATAAACTACAAAAATTAATAATTCGGAAAGATTTAATTATTTTATTTATTTATTTTAATGAAAAGCTTTAAAAATTATGAGTGCGTTTCAAAAGACACATACCTATTTTTTAAATTAGCAAAATGTACTTATAATTTAAATTTAAGTAACTTTGGAAACCAGCATTTTAACTTATTTGTGAAAATTTTGAATAAAAGCAATCAAGTGTATTTAATTAAATATGACCGGGTACTTACAGAACAGATATTATATTTTGTATTCCCAACTTTTAAATTTTTATTTGTTTAAGCCTAGTACTCAGTACGACGAAAACTGCTAGCTAAGCATAGGAGTAAGCGAGAGGCAAATAGGTAGCTAACGCCTTTAGCCGGGGACTTTTTTCCACCGCGGTACTCAGTTGAGCTAAGGAAATAGTAAGGAAATACCAAAAAAATACTAGATTTAGCGGATGAATTCCGATGAACTACTTTAGCCGCGGCCCAAAGAATAAAAAAATTGATCTTTGGCTGTGTTTGTGCAGAAGCGGTGTGCCAATAACAATTTATAAATGGAAGGAAAACCACAAAAACCAATGGAAAACTGCCTGTAGGAGTTGCTGCAATACATATCGCCATTCCAACAGCGAATTTAAAGCTTGCGACCCAGGTCGGCTCAACGTTTTGTAATATTTTAAAATTGGCGCCAGCTAATTTGTTTGCTGAGAGTAAGACCATGCTACATGCATTGCGGGTGAACTCCGAAAACTTCGGTCACACCAGAAGATTAATATTTTTCGACTAGTAAAACTCTTAGCCGAACTGAGTACTAGGCTTAACTACTCAAAAACCAAAAACCCCCTCAAAATTTTATTTGCTAACCTCCCTGCAATACTGAAATGACACAAGTTGGCAGCCCCGCCGCCAACAGCTGATTCCCCTTCTGAATGCGGAAAATTTGTCTGTGTGTTTATGAATATTATGCCGAGCAATGGAAAGAGCAATAGTTATGTGAGTGGCTAGGCGGCAAACACAACTTACACACTCTGTAGAGAACCCCGCTTGATTCCTCGCCAGACTCGATAAATTGGCCCGCAGTGCTTTGCGGTCGCAGAGCAAACCAATACCGCAAATCAACCGCCCGTTGGCCTGTGGGAATCATTTGAAGCGCCACCGCAGCACATCTGGGTCAGAGTCCAAGGAAATCCGGGAAATGCTGAGCCAACTACCTCTCTTCGCCGGCGGCGAGATCGTCCGTGGATTCGGACGTGGCTCCAAGGAGCTGGGCATCCCAACAGGTTGGTGGCGACGACGTCAAGTGAACCCCGAAGGTCATTGCTAATTGATAACTAAACCACTTGTTAGCTAACTTTCCGCTGGAGGTGGTGAAATCGCTGCCTGAATCACTGCCCACGGGCGCCTACTACGGCTGGGCGAACGTGGACAACGGACCGGTGCACAAAATGGTCCTCAGCGTCGGCTGGAATCCCTTCTACAGCAACAAGGAGAAGAGCGTGGAGACGCACATGCTGCACGACTTCAACTGCGACCTGTACGGCCAGATACTTAAGATATGCATTGTGGGATACCTGCGACCAGAGCGCAGCTTCGACTCCCTGGAGTCGCTGATAGCCGCCATTCGGGCGGATATAGAGCAGGCCAAGGAGTTTCTGGACGAGCAGGACAAGGCCAAGTTGAAGGATGCTTCGTTCTTCACCGAGAAGCTTTGCCCCCCGAAATAGCGAATCCGCAAGTTATCCTGCACAAGGAGGCCCAGCTGAAAGAGGCTTTACCGAGCAGCTCTGCCCCTGGAAATAGTTATTCCACAAGTTATCTTATCTCTCAGTTTGCACGATGTACAAAGCGGATTTCGAATAACGATTCAAGTACTTAAGTTGGCTGTTTTCATTAAATTCCGATTCCCTCATCATGACACCAGAAAATTAAACCAATCGCATTTAATTTTGATACCTATCAATTTTATAAATGAAACCTTTTTATTAATGCTTTGCTGTGCATTTTTTCTAGGTAAGGGTGTGATTCATCATTTTCTAATGCTTTGAACAAGCCCACTTTTAAATATCGGGTACTGCCAGCATAAAGTTATTTAATTAAATGTTTAAACAAAAAGATAGATTGCACATACAATTAAATATTGTACTATTTGTATTTCTTTTAATCATAAAATGTTCTTTTTATAGATCCTTACATTTTAGTTTATTATTTAAATTGTAAAAAAAGCCTTTCCGTTTAATTTTCCAGTTAATAAAAATTAAAAAAAAAATTATTAATTTCTACATTTTAAAATCATACTTAAAAGTACTTAAAAAGTATAATTAAATGTTTTATACAAAAAGCAAAATAAATTTATAATTTTACAAGTACTTAAATTAAAATAAAAAAAATTTGCGACTGAAAATAGAAATTTAAAAAAATGCAATTTGTAAAAGTATTTTTTTAATTTTATTTTAAATTTTTTACCTGTATTATAAAATATAAACTAAAACGAGGCTTAAAAAGTAGAACTACAAAAATGTTTGTAATCCAATTTGAATTTTGCTTGAATGCCGTTATCGATCCAGGGCCACCAACTATCGATAGCAGGCCTCCGATCGATATTGGGCTTGATCTCGTCCGATTTCGGAAAAACTAAGCTGCGCGTGCGAGCGTGCGAGGATTTTTCTTGTATAAAACCGTTGCGTAAACCAACAGGTAAATCAGATCGCCGCCAGCTGCGCCTCGAACTGCAATTAGCCGCCCTCAATTACCATATCGCACGCATTTCCCAGCAGCAACATGTCGGCGTCACAGCAGCAGCAGCAGCAACAGTCGCAGCAACAACAACATGTGCGCGTGGTCGAGCAGCAACAGGTGGAACCAGCTGTGGAGGTGACCTCCACTGGGGCATCGGAATCCACATGCATCTCGGCCAGCAAGGAGCTAACCGGTTTGACGCACGAGTGCGGCGTGTTCGGGGCCATCGCTTGCGGGGATTGGCCCACCCAGATGGACATTGGACACGTGATCTGCCTGGGACTGGTGGCACTGCAGCATCGCGGCCAGGAGTCGGCGGGCATAGCCACCAGCGAGGGCAACTGCTCCAAGAACTTCAACGTGCACAAGGGCATGGGCATGATCAGCACCCTCTTCAACGATGACTCCATGAAGAAGCTGCGCGGCAACCTGGGCATCGGACACACGCGCTACTCCACCGCCGGCGGCTCCGGAGTGGTCAACTGCCAGCCCTTCGTGGTGCACACCGCCCACGGAGCTTTGGCCCTGGCCCACAATGGCGAGCTGGTGAACAACGAATCTCTGCGCCGGGAGGTTTTGGCCAGGGGCGTGGGTCTGTCCACGCACAGCGACAGTGAATTGATCGCCCAGTCGCTGTGTTGCGCCCCGGAGGACGTTTCCGAGCTGGACGGACCCAACTGGCCGGCCAGGATTAGGCACTTCATGATGCTGGCGCCGCTCTCTTACTCCCTGGTCATCATGCTCAAGGACAAGATCTACGCGGTGAGGGACACGTACGGCAACAGGCCGCTGTGCATTGGCAAGATCGTGCCGATTAATGCGGGACACGGCAATAGTTCGGACACCCCAGCCGATGGTTGGGTGGTTTCCAGCGAGAGCTGCGGCTTCCTCTCGATCGGCGCCAGATACGTGCGCGAAGTGGAGCCCGGGGAGATTGTGGAGCTCTCCCGCAGTGGCTATCGCACGGTGGACATTGTGGAAAGGCCCGACTTCAAGCGCATGGCCTTTTGCATATTCGAGTACGTTTACTTTGCCCGCGGCGACAGCATCTTCGAGGGTCAGATGGTCTACACAGTGAGGCTGCAGTGCGGCCGGCAGCTGTGGCGAGAGGCTCCGGTGGAGGCGGATATCGTGAGCTCCGTGCCCGAATCCGGAACAGCGGCGGCCCATGGATATGCCCGCGAATCTGGCATAGAGTTTGCCGAGGTTCTGTGCAGAAATCGCTACGTGGGACGCACCTTTATTCAACCCTCAACGCGACTGCGGCAGTTGGGAGTGGCCAAGAAGTTTGGAGCCCTCTCCGAGAACGTTTCGGGCAAGCGATTGGTTCTGATAGACGACTCCATCGTGCGGGGCAACACCATTGGACCTATTATTAAGCTACTCCGGGATGCAGGCGCCCGGGAGGTGCACATACGCATTGCCAGCCCGCCGCTGCAGTACCCCTGCTATATGGGAATCAACATTCCGACGCGAGAGGAACTGATTGCCAACAAGCTGAACGCCGAGCAGTTGGCCCGCCATGTGGGCGCCGACAGCCTGGCCTATCTCAGTGTGGAGGGACTGGTGCAGGCTGTCCAGCTGAAGCACCGGGCTGCAGGAGATGGCAAGTCCAAGCCCACGGGGCACTGCACCGCCTGTCTCACTGGCGAATACCCCGGTGGACTGCCCGACGAGCTGAGCTGGTAAAAGACTTTTGGAAACCAGTTTTTTGCCCACCACAAAACGAAAAAAATAACGCATGCAGTATCAAACGGCGCAGAGGGCCCAGAATTGCTGTCACAAATTTTGCATTTAGTTTATCTAGCTTTACAGCCCACCCATTCCTATTTACACACTCTACCTTCTTAGATCTTAAGTGAAAAGCCCACGTGCTTCCCTAAAAAGACACTGATTAAAGTCTGGTTTTGTCTCTGGAACTCCACACTCATAGTACAAAATATAACTCTCTATGTTGCCCATCTTGAATATCTTTAAAATTTGTTGATTGCGAATGCCAATAATAAAGACATTTAGACTACGATCAAACAGGTATTGAAGTTTTTTTTTGGCATTGAAGATATGGAGTTACGTTTCGTCCAGGCCAAGGTGTATATGCTCAATCAGCCGATGCCAATAGCTCAACGCAGTTATGCACCATTTGATAAATAGGTCATGGGTAAACAGTCAACAGAGTTAGATATGATTCTATGAATTGAAGATTACTAATCGATTATAAGTCTCTAATGTATGATAACTATGTAGCAAAAGATTTATTTTTCCTGCAGGTGTATTGCCTTGCAAAAAATTAAATAGCTGATAGCTTACTTATCAATTATGAAGAAAATATCTCAATGAGTAAGCTTAATTTCTTGGCATAGTTTCCATGGTCAAAGGCCTTTGCCTAGTTTAAGTTTAACATTTACCGAACGAAGTTGTATGATTAATCAGCCTTAAATAGGATTTTATTATAGCTTACAATTTTAATTTATATTTTAATTTTTCTTTAAGACTCCAGCATATTCTCAAAGTCCTTGAGCTCCAGTTCTCTCTCAATGACCTGCGTGTAGAGATTATCAAGTGTTTCCTGCATGCGTTGCTTCAGCGTGGCATTCTGGATGGAGGCGATTTCCGTGGACTTCTGCACCTGCTGCGCCTTCAACTCGCTGATCTGCCGCGTCAGTTGACTGATCTTCTGGTGCACCTGTTGCTGCGTGTACTGCGGTTGTGGCTCGTCTATGAACTCCATGTTCTCAAACATCTCACGCTTGGCCATCATCTGGCTGTCGTAGAAGCCACTCGGAGCGGCCAGATTGGAACTGGAACCGGCGGCGCTTAGCTTGGGGCTGCTGGCCTCTTGGCCAAACATGGACTTGCTGAACTCGTTGCGCTCCATTTTCAGGCCGCCGGCGCCGGCATTACTGCCACTAGCGCCAAAGAAGTCCGACATGCGGGAGTCATCAGCTGAGAGGCGAGAGGATTCCTCCATTTCACGCCGCTGCATGGTGTTGTTGCCGCGATCCGGCTCATCTTCGTCATCGGTGGTAGACACCTCTTCGCCAAAGATGTCGTGGGCAGCCACGCCCATGTTGGGCGCCCGGTGGGGCGGAAAGTTGCTGGCCTCATCGTCATCGGACTCCACATTGATGTCCCGCTGGGAGCTAATGTCCATGGCCGTCTTATCGCTGGCGTGCATGGTGGTTTCATCCTGCAGATCATCATCCGCATCGTTGTAGGGCTTGATGTCCGATTGATCCAGGTCGTCCATGGGCTTATCCTCCTCGTTGATTATTTCGTAGTCAACCCTCACTGCTTCGTTGTCGATGCGGAGCAAGTGCTTGACTTCCTTCTCGATTTCCGGGGCTTCGACGTTCTTTTTCTTGAGAGTCTTGCGGAATCTACGCTTCCGCACGTTCTTGCAGGGCGGAGTGATGCCGTGTGGAAAGAGGTACTTCTTGTCCACCTTGTTGGGATCCTTCTTCTTGTTCTTGTTGGGCGACTCCTTCTCCGTCTCGTCTTCCGGCTCCTCCTTGCAAATGAGTATCTGGCAGATGTCTGCCGACTTGTAGAAGCTCTTGTTGTCGATGGTCTTGTAGCTCTCGACGACCGTGGGCAGATCCACGAGTTTGGTGTAGAGCAGTTGGTCATCTAGTCGTACTTCGCCGTACCTGAGGTCCTGATCCAGTTGGATGGTCAGCCGATCCTTCACGGTCCCTGCATTTATGGCCTCATGGACACTTTCGGCCAGTTCCTGCGGGTCAAATGATCAGTGCCGTAAATTGCATGGTGTAACTGCAGTGCATCGTCTTACCTTTGGCACCCGCATGATGAACTGGCTCTCCAGTTCCACCCCATCGTCCCGCGGTTTGTGCTCACCCTGCTTTACCTTGTCGCTCTTTTTTTCAAACATTTGGAAGGGTTTTATTCGGTTACACAGTAATTTTCCAGAAAAATACCTTTTTGTTGTTACTTGGCGTTTAGAGATGGCAGTGGTGACACCGCTAGCGATGGAAGTCAATGCAACAATAATCGATTACAGGATTATCACTGTTCACACTAGCACCGCAACAGCAGTACTGATTTTATAATTGTTAAATTTTATTAATGTGATAGATTTGTTTTTGAATGGAAAATGAAATTAATTTTTGTAAAATGCTAATATTTATTGAGCTATAAGGCTATAAGGAACGTTTTATTCCATATGAAGTGACTTTAGCCATTGTTTTGAATATCGGATGCAACCTCGATTAAATATCGATTCTACGGGCTTAGCCAACCCTGCTCCAATTTCTTCTTCTCATCCCTTTTGCTATGACGGAAAACACGAATTAATGTGGATTTCTACTGATTTATAACATAAAAAGGCATCGGAAGTTGAACAATTAGAGCTCGAGTGACTCGCAGGCAGAAAGCAAGGCGGAAGACATGCAGCAGCAGTGGTTACTGGCCGGCCTTTCGGTGGCGCTCCTATTGGGCACCTGCTCGGCGCTGTACGAAGACCAGATCAAGAAGTTCGACTGGTGAGTGTGGCTGTGGCCCGATATATCTGACCATTGACCCGGCGCTAATCCGGCGGACATATGTCGCTTCTGCAGGCGGGCCGTGAATGTGGGTGCACTGAAGCAGTCGCGCGTGGACCTGAACCACTTCCAGCCGCGTATTCTCGTCAGCACTGCCGAGGGGGTGGTGGCCAGCTTGTGCGTGAAGACCGGCGAGCTGGTGTGGCGGCAGGTGCTCGAGCAGAAGCCGCGCGGCGACATCAAGCTGCTCCAGGTGAGCGGATTCTCCGACGACAGCAGCGACACGGCCGCCGCTCCCATGGGCAGCAACCTGGGCTTCGACATGCTCACCGTTCAGGGCCATGCGCCCGCCTTGGTGCGCGGCTGGAACACCAATATCGGCGCCCTCGAGTGGGAGTGGTCCATCATGCCGCTGAACACGGAGCGGGCCCAGGAGGCGCTGTGGTTCTACAGCAAGTCCGTGCTCTACCACGTCCTGCCCGCCTGGCGGAGCCACCTCGAGGTCACCGCCTACTTCGCCAGCTCGGGTCACAGCACTGGCAGCACCAGCAAGGTGATGGCCTCGTGGATCACTCCGGAGAGCTGCACCCTCAGCGGTACCTTCTACGTCTGTACGGATGGCAAGCAGCTGATCAGCCTGGATCTGGTTTCCAAGAGTGGTCAGGTGATCCGCACCTCGCTCGAGGCGGAGTCCAAGGGAAAACTTCAGGCCTTGGCGGTAAGAAAATAAATATAGTTCACTGAATTGGTTAGTCTTCAATCCTCAGTTCTTAGGAATTTTCCATCCATTTCAGTCATTATTTAAAGAAAATACGTATTTTAACAAGTTGCTGGATTTTTAAGATTATTAAAAAAAATGGTCTAGTATAAGCTGATTATATAAATTATTATTTAAAAAGAATAAGTATTTTAACAAGTTGCTGGATCTTTAAGATTATTAGAAAATGGTCTGGTATAAACTGATTATATAAATGGTTATAGATATTTTGTTTTGTTCTACAGTAATATAAATTGATGTATCAATGTTTTTAACACGTAATTCATTTTAAATAGAAATCTTTTTATTTAAGTTCGTGAAAAAGAATATTAACACTACTACATTGTTACAAAAAAAATAATAACACAAAATTCCTTTTCATAGACTATATAATTAATATCACTCTTCCTTAGGGTCTCAATGGCGTCGTTATTGTGGATGGCAAACTGGTCAGTGTCAACAAGGAACAATCCGTGTGCAGTGGTCTTCAAGGCTCCAGCTTCGCCGTGGGTAGCTTCAACTACCGCAAGATCTTGGCTTATGCTGATCTCGCTTCTGGAGTATGTATTAACTTATAATTAATTTATAAGGACACTTAATTAATCCATTTAAATTATATTTCCTAGATTCTCAAGATTAATGCCGTGTATGTAGATAACTGCTCACCAGCAGCTGAGTTGGAGCAGAGTCTGCCCTTCCCCGAGCACTTTGGCACTCCATCGCTGAACAACTTCGACTGTAAGCAGAAGCGGAATGGCGATGGAAAGAGCTGCCTCTTCCTGTTCAGCACCAGTTCCGAGTCCATTGTGGCCGTGCAGCAGGGACGCATTCGTTGGTCGCGCGAGGAGGCGCTGGCCAATGTAATCGACTCGCAGTTTGTTGATCTCCCTCTGGCCGATACTGAAGGCACTCTGGAGAGCGAGATGAAGGGCAAGGCCGGTGAGTGTTCTAGAAATAACTGCCATAACCTTAAGCAAAATTTTAAAATGTTTATTCTTGAAAATGCATACCAAAGGGGATTTCACAAGTTTCGAGAGTAAGTGAAGGTCCACAACAAATTAAGTCTAAAATTTAATTTCGTAAAGTTGAATTTTAAATTTTATTAACACAATATGCATGCCTTATTAGCTAACTGCCAATGCATTTAAATATTTGTTAATACATTTGATTAACAACAGTTTTATTTCCCTTAAACCATTTGTATAAATATGAATGTTATTTGTTTGTAACGTATTAGTGTTGGCAGAAAAATGGTTTATATTATTTTTCCAAAATGGAATTAAAATCTGTATGACTTATTAAGTTAGTATTTCTATTTTTGTTTGCACATTTAAATATTTTGTGGCTTGACCTAAATATAATATTTATGGGCTTTACATTTGTACAGGAGACATTGCCAGTGCCTTTTTGCGCCGCATCACCACGCAAGCTGTTCAGATTAGGAGCTTGTTCCTTCATGTCATCGGCCTGGGTCCACCGCCCACGGACACCCAGCGAGCTGGCCTGGTCCGCGATTCTTTTGGACTCCACAAGATGCTGGTTATACTGACCCGCGCTGGCAAGATCTTCGGCATTGACAACATCTCGGGAAAGCATCACTGGCAGTTGTATCTTCCCTATGTCAATGGTTTTGCCAATGACGAACAGATGCGTCTGATTGTTCAGCGCTCGGCGAAACACTTTCCGCTTCAGCCTCTGTGCACTATTTTGGGCAAGGATGCCGTAAGTTAGACTGATAAATCGGAAATAGTTTTTAGCTAACTGGTGTTCTTTTCAAAGGTCAATGGCAACGGTGTGCTCTATCGCTTTAATCCCATCACTGGAAAAGCTGCAGAGGGCGGTCTCATTCAGCTGGACTACAAAATCAAGCAGCTCTCGTTGCTTGGAGAAACGGAAAAGGACTTTGTAAAGGGCATTCTGTTATTGGATGCTTCGAACAAGGTCCATGTGTATCCTCAACATGCTACTCCATTGGTAAGAATCGAAATTCTGCGATAAAATAATGGAGTTTTTAAATCTTTGCTGTCTTAAACAGGCTGATGGCATGTATCTCTACACAGCCGATGTGAAAACTGCAGAGCTGTCGGGCTTCTTTGTTAAATATGCGGGCGGTGTGAGTATTGCAAGTTTTAAACCTGTTGGCCATTAAATAATTAAATCATTTCCGTCAGCAACTTTCGAGCACGCACATTTGGAACGCCCGCCTGGGCGGACACAACTCCGAGCAGCAGATTATTGGCGTTGCCGGCAAGAATCCCATCGAGCATGTCCATTCACAGGGCCGCGTGTTGGGCGATCGATCGGTGCTGTACAAGTACATCAACCCCAATTTAGTGGCTTTTGTTACACAGGCGCCGGATGCCACACACAAATGTGAGTCTGCATGCACTTTGCTTAAATTGAAACCCATTAACATGTCACCCATTCCACAGCCGTGCTCAATTTGTATCTGGTTGATGTGGTCTCCGGCTCGGTGGTTTTCACTATGACACATCGTAAGGTGCGTGCTCCTCTGAGCATTGTCCACTCAGAAAACTGGCTTGCCTACTCCTACTTCAATGAGAAAGTGCGACGCACGGAGATTAGTAAGATTAGCTGATAACATTTTTATTCTTCAGTGTTAATTCATCTAAATCTTTACAGCCACCATTGAACTGTACGAGGGTAAGTCTCAGGCGAACAGCAGTGTTTGGAGTTCCCTGCAGGCTCCACCAATGCCTCTTGTGGAGCGTCAGTCCTACATACTCCCCACTATTGTTGAGGCTCTGAGGGAGACAATCACAGAGCGCGGTATTACCAATAAGCATGTGCTGAGTAAGTGTTTACAAAAGTATATTATCACAGAATTGGATAATGAAAGTTTTCCAATATTTTAGTCGGCACTGCCAGTGGTTCCATTGTTGAAATGCCATGGCATTTGCTGGATCCCCGTCGTCCTATCGCATCTACGACCCAGGGACGCGAGGAGGGAGCCATTCCCTACATACCCGAGTTGCCTTTGCCAACGGAAAGCCATATTAATTACAACCAGACGGTCGCCCGTCTGCGTAATATTTATACCGCGCCCAGTGGTCTGGAGAGTACCTGTCTAGTCGTTGCTACAGGTTTAGGTAAGCATATTCCAATTTTCTCAATGCTTAGTTAGGATAATGGTTAAAAAACCACGAATTTAAAATTATTATTGTAACCTTAAACCAACTAAATGTTTTCCTATTTCGCAGATTTGTTCGTTACGCGCGTGGCGCCATCAAAGACGTTCGATTTGTTGAAGGAGGACTTTGACTATATTCTCATTTCCATAGTGCTAGTCGCGCTCACATCGGGCTCGTTGATTGTTAAGCATTTAGCGTCTCGTAAATTGCTCAAGCAGGCGTGGAAATAGGCTTGGCAATATTATTAAATAATTGCTTTATATACATATAAAATTTTACTGCGACCAAATACAACAAGGGAGGATGAAATGATGGAAAAGAAGCAAACTGGCGATGAGAATATTGATATACATAACATAATTCTGGTAGCTGCATTACATCCCATAATGCGATTAAAACTTCTTCTCAACGCTAAGCCTAGGCAATTATTTATAAATAATTATATAGCGTTAAACATCAAATAATTATAATTAGCTGTTGAAAGGTTTTCATTGCATTTTTCTGTTCCTTACATTTGTGTTCGTTTAAATTTCCATCTATGAAAAATATCAGCATTGAAAGTGTGTTTAAAAAAATGTAGTTAATAAAAGCATTTGTAAAGGAGGACAATGGTAAAGTAAATAAACAATTTTTTCATCAGATTAAAAGGGATTTTCTATTTTATTCAATTGATTTAAGGATCTTCTGACTAGAAATCTGCGTGGATGGCGACTGTATGTGAAATTTTACACTCTGTTTGACGAGCTTCGGTAAAACATTTCTAAATCTAATTCATCAAAAATACATTTTTTCATATTCCTTAAAATAAACAATTTAAAATATTTAAATTTTATTTGAATCTTGGTTTTTTTGAACAAGTATTTAAAAATAAACGTACTGTAATTTGTGTGACCAAGACTTTTCAAGTAAAATACAAATATTAATTAAATTCATAGTATTGTATAGTATTAATTAAATCATTCTTTTAATTCAAATCAGTTCAAATTATGCGCCAAAATAGGCGCACAGGGTGTTCCGAGCACAGTTCCGCACGCCCGATTGTTCCGATTGATGGAACAGCTGTTGTGGTCTTCTTCTTCCCGCCGTGCTTTTAGGAAATCAAAACGATGGCACTGCGTGTTTTTGGCTTAAATATAGTGAAAACTAACAGGAATCTGCTGCAAAATGCATGCAAATCCACTACCCCGGCCACAGGCTACATGGTTGGTACAACTGCAAAGACTACGAGGCGTTATCTTCACTAGATCCACTGCTTCGAAAACTAAGACCAAACGTTTGCATAACCTTTCAGGCGGCGGCTCCATTTGCCACCGAAGTGACCATCCAGGCTGCTCCTGCGGCTGTCCAGAAGCAAAAGGTCAGCAAGGCCATGCGATCGTACCTGAAGAGAGCCAACGAACACGACGAGTTCATGAAGACCCAGCACCTGGAGTTCCAGATCGGCAAGCGGCACCTGGCCAACATGATGGGCGCCGATGCGGAGACGTTCACCCAGGAAGATATAGACGTGAGTGATTTGGCCATGCAAATCGTTTAACCACTTAAACACACATTTGTATTTGCAGGAGGCGATATCCTATCTGTTCCCCTCCGGCTTGTACGACCAAAAAGCCCGCCCGGCCATGAAGTCGCCCGAGGTGGTCTTTCCCGCCCGCAAGGCAGCGGAATTCGATGAGACTGGCAGACCTTTCCACAGCATGTTCTACACCGGCAAGCCCAACTTCTTCCAGCTGCTCCACGTGAGTGAATCTTATTCTATTTCGTCTCTATAAAAAGTCAAGCATCTATAGCTCGAACTAAATTCCGAAGAGTTTACCTCTATAAATTCCCTTTTTTAAAGAAAACATGTGTCGGTGTTTATGTGCTTAAAAATTGATTAATTAAAGTGAGACTAGATTTTATTTATATATAGTAAGCTTCTTAGTTTTTTTTAGCTTAAAGTCTTCGTAACTCGACTGTTTTCTTTGCTAAAAAGACCTTTTTCATGTAAACTTACTTATCTTTCCAATTTACCTCTATAAATTACCTTTTTGAAAGAAAACATATTATATATCGGGGTTTATAAGCTTAAAAAACTGTATTAATTGAAGTGAGACTACCCTTTATTTATATCTAGTAAGCTTCTTAGATTTCTTTAGCTTAAAGTCTTCATAACCCGACTGTATTCTTTGCTCGAAAGACCCTATTTCACATATATTTACTTATCTTTCCAATATTCAGGACATTGTGCAGGAAACCAACAAGTTGGCGGATCTGGAGGAGCGCCTGCTTCGTCGCGGAAATAAGCCCGATGAGAACCAGAAACTGTAAGATATTTCATACTTTACTTAAGAGAGATTTTTAACCATAGTTCATAATTTTTCAGGGAAATTGCCGGCTTTCAGCTGCTCCCCAAAGACCAGCTGGAAATTGTGTTGGTCGAGAGCATTGCCGATATCGAATACTCGAACTTTACAAAGTCCATGGAACGTCTGATCGCATCGCCCTATGCCTATAAGACTAAAACATTTATTGAACGCTTTTTGAAACCGCTGATGGATCAGTCCAAGCAGCTGGTGGTGCCCAAGCCAAAGATCGATGAGGAGGGTCGTCAGTACATTACCACCTACGAGTGCCTGCGTAAAACTGCTAGAGCTGACGTCACAGTCCGGCTCCCGGGTACTGGAAAGATCAGCATTAATGGAAAGGATATCTCCTATTTCCAGGACGAAAACTGCAAAGAGCAGGTGAGTCAAGTGCCATGTCCGTCTGTCCGTCCGTATGAACGCTCAGATCTCGGAAACTATAAAAGCTAGAGGATTGGTATTTGGAATGAAGATTCCTAAAGTATATAGGATTTTACAAATTTAAATATTTTGGAAAAGTAAAAATGCAGTGTTTTTGCAGTTTTTATTGTGTTTATCAATACCTATCGAAATGTAGAAGAAATTTTTCGAATCGGATCATTCGTCTAAAAGTTATGCGTGATCAAAGTTTTCTACCTCCATCTCCCTAGCACTCCCTTTACCTGAGTAACGGGTATCTGATAGTCGTTCTCTCTTGTTTTATTTGGTTATAGTTTTATAGTTTTTTGTCTGTGGTTAGAAGATCAATTTTTTGATGCCATTAGAATACAAAATCAGAATAACTGTTTAGTAAGGCAAAATTTTTTTTTTCCATTACTGCTTTTAAAAAACATTTTAACTTATTCGATTTATTTAAAACATAAATTTCTACGTATATTTCAACATAATCCACTTTAAAATTATCCATCATGCGATGAAAAATAAACCCAACTGAGTTAAAAAATTTTAAGAAAGGTTGAAGATTTCAAAAGTTTTTTTAAATTTAATTTTTGAATGCAAACATTTTCGCTGAAAAAAGTTTTACCTGGATATTATTCGGCCATAGGTCCATCGCCCAGTTTAAACACAGCTACAAGTAACATCTCACCCAATTCATAACAATAGATATAGCATATATTTTATTAAGAATAATAATTTGCATTAAATTACTATATAAACGATTCTCTGACGACAACGCCAAAACAACAAAGACACAGCCTGAAACCAGCCACAAATCAATCCTGCCAACTGCTCGCCTCTAATTTAACTAACTGCTAGTTATAGTATTTGTATCGATAATAGTGTAGTATGGTGTGGTATATGGCTATATAGCGTATGTATAGGGCGCCTGGCGCATCGATATCAAAATTGGTTTAACTACAACTCGCTGCTACGATAATATCAACAATGTTCCGGGTTTTTTGGGATCCAACACGATCCCCTTACTTCTAGAAAACAGCTAACTCTGATCTATAAATATTCCGAATGGAGTGCACTAAATGCTCCTGCTACTTGCGCAGATTCTGCTTCTGCTGATTGGAAATCACAATCAGCAGCTTGTCGATCACTTTGCTGGCCTGCTGCTGCTGCGAGATGAGCGCCTGCTTCAGCTCCTGGATCTCCTGGGTGAGGAACTCGATCCGATCGGCATTATCATCGATCTTGGTGGTCAGTGTGGTGAATTGGCCCGCATCCGGATCCGCATCGGGTAGAACATATCCCGTCGTAGCGCCATTATTATTGTTATACTTGTTCTTGTACGACAAATAGTTTTCGGCTGAATTTTTCGACGAGATGGTGTGTCCAAATTGCTTCCGCATCTTTCCCACTTCATAGGCCTTCATTAGGATCTCCCTTGGCAATCTTTTCTCGCTGGGATTTAGCGGCTTCACACAAAGAACCACCCTGTAAGCCTGCGGAGAGACCAAGGCTGTATAATGGAGCAAGTTCCTCAGCCAGGTCGGAAGGTAGCCGTTGAATAGCGCCGACTCTATGTAGCTGATCAGTTTGGTCTGTCGCACTAGCTTGGATAGTCCCGCCGTCTTCTTCAATCCCTGGATATCGTGCACTGCAATGCCCACGAGCAGGTTCATCAGAATGATGGTTACGAACAGCAGAAAGAGCACAAAGGTGATTTGTGCGCTGACCTCCAGCAGGAAGGGAGGATCCTTGCCTTCGGGATCGTTAATCAGCAGCGATAGGTCCTGTTCACCAATCATCATCACCAGCACTGTTATGAAGCCCATAAACGGGTTGGCAAACGAGGACGAGGAGGGAAAGATGACACAGAAACTGATGGTGAACCCAATCAGCATGCAGGAGTAGGCCATAAACAGCTTGGCAAACTCCCCCTGGACTCTCGTATACATGGCCACGTAGACATCGAAGACCGGTAGCTGACCTATCATCAACATCAAGTTCGTCCAGCCGAGCAGCACGGCAAAGGCGCCTATGTGGTTCTGAAACGTGTACGTCTTGTTGGTGTAGATGTAGGATATGACAAACACGCTGGTTATCACAAACCACTCCATAATGTTCTCCACCTGCGTTACGTAGTGTCGAAATGACGAGTAGCCCGTTATGCCGTACAGCTTTCGAAATATCTCCACTATGGTGATGGCCACAAGGACCCACCACTGCATCTCCATCACAAAGGGGTTGTTCCTGAGCATATCCCCCAGGATGGATTGCTTCTGGCACAATTCCTGCGCCGGAATGGTCGTATTATCGTTCTTGCTGCCATTGTAGCAGTTGTGGGCCAATGCCGTCAGCACGTAGAGCGTGAGGAAGAGCACGAAGCTGAAGCAGAAGATGAGCCTGCCAATGTAGTACTTGCGGATCTTGCCCCACTTGATGTATAGGAACGAGGAGCAGAGCGGGTGCTCCAGGATCTCCTTCTGGCCCTCGTCGACGAACGTGTTTAGGTAGCTGATCTCGCGCGGATGACAGTGCTGCAGCAGCTGACGGAAATCCAGTTCTAGCTCAACCTCGCGATTTACGGGGTCCTTGGAAAGGAGATTAACAGATTTAAGTGGCAGTGAAGTAATGAATATGTGCAGTGCTCCCATTAATCAGCTTTAAAAAGAGGACAGATCAGCCAAAAAAAAATCCAGGAAAAAAAGGATACAAAAAATTCAAAAAGGACAAAATAGAGGGCAAAAGTTACTTCTTCAATATTTTCGTGTTTTTGTTAATAGGTTACATTTTATAGTAATTTAAATTGATTTTTAAAGTCCGTGCTAGTCGGCATTTCCTTATGACTCTACCGATCGTTTTTAAACTTATCGCACATTTTTCTGTAAAAAAAAAACAGCCCCCCTGAAAGGAGATTTTTTTTATTTTGTGACATTTAAAACTTTTTTTTTAAAAAGAAAAGTCTAATTTTTTTTAGCCAAAAAACTTAATTTTAGGATAAAAACCCAACCAAAACCAACGACTAGGAAAACTAAAAACCTTGTTCTTGAAAAAAGGGCAGATTTCCGGACAGGGGATGATTAAAATTTTTTCCGGATAAAGCCGTTAAAAAAAGGACAAAATGGCAGCACTGAAAATGTGTATTTTAACCCACCTGCGAGTGATGCAGCGTAATGGCTGCGTCCAGTTTCTGCCTGATCATGGCCACTGAGGCGGGCGTCTTCCGCGTGATCACGTTCAGCGCAGAGGTGCCCTTCTTCGACTTGGTGGTCACATCCGCTCCGTGGAAGATCAGCATTTCGACGCACTGCACCAGCCCATCCAATGCGGCCAGGTGGAGAGCGGTAAAGCCGTAGATGTCCTTGTGGTTGACATTGGCACCCCACTGTATGAGGGTCTCCATGATGTCGTAGGCATTCTCCGATTTGCCCACTGCCGCATGGAGGGGAGTACGGTGATCAAAGTCCTCGGCATTGGCGTCGGCATTGCCGTTCCTTAGAAGAGACTCCACGCAATCCAAGCTGGAAGTTCTTGCTGCCAGGTGGAGAGGTGTGAAGCCTCGATGGTTCTTCAGCTTGGCATCCGCACCCTTGGCCAGAAGCAAGTCCACACACTCGACGTTTCCCTCATCGGCCGCCAGATGCAAGGCTGTGGACTCCTTTTCGCGGATGCAGATGCGCACATTGGCATCGGCATTGGGAGCATTCAGCAGGGCCTCCAGGCACTGGAGATTGCCCAGATCAGCGGCCAGGTGAATGGCATTGGTGCCGTTCGGCTTGAGCGAGTTGACATCGGCACCCTCGCCAATGAAGATCTGCAGGCACTCCAGCGCATTGGATCGCACGGCGCAGTGCAGCAGGCTCTCCTCGCAATTCGGCTTGCTGGTGTCCTTGGATATGTCCGCCCCATTGTTGATCAGCAACTTGGCCGCCTCCGCCGCGTTTCCGAAGGCTGCACAATGCAGCGGCGTGTAGCACTTGGACTGCAGATTGACATTCAGACCCTTGGCCACCAGAAGACCCAAGGTGGCCAGGCAGCCGCTGAAGGCACTCAGATGCAGGGCGGATATACCATTCTGATCGCAGAAGTGCAGGTCGGCCCCCGCCTCCAGCAGACTCTCGATCAGATCCCAGCGCTTGAGGTAGGCGGCCCACAGGTAGCTGAGATTCTTCTCCAGCTTCGAGGCGGACTCGAAGTGCGCCCGGATGCCCTCGGCCACCACGTTGCTCTGCTCGATGTCCTCGAAGAGCTTGACGCGACCCGCGGCGCTCTTCATCTGGTCGATCAGGCTGATCCGCAGCGTATCGTTGCATATCTGGACGCTCAGCTCGCTGGTCGGCTCCTCGAAGCTGTCGTACATGCTCGGCGCACTCTCCGCCGGCGGCGACGGTCCACACTCCATGTATTCGAATTCTCCAGCGGTCGGGTACTGGGCTTCGATCATGGCGTCAGTGTTGTTCCGCCATCGCACCATCAAGTTGGGTGGAATCGATTTGAAGCTGTTGGAGATAAGTGGTTTAGTATTATTGCATTGAAAGTTGCACAGATGTTCTACGGTTGGATAACTCCCAACAAAGAACTTTGATTGGTGGAAGATTCTCATGGCATGGAGAGGCAACTGCTTATTTTAACACCGATAAGTACAGTAAAACCTGCTTGTACATTCTAATAATATATTCGATTAAAAGCTGTAAGGGTTTGATAGGGTCAAAGTGGGTTTGATTTCATAATGCTGTTATTTTTTAGGATATTAGAATTTTCTAAGCTGAAAAAATAACAATTTGATTGCACCTCACATTAATAACACTGTGCAGCATTTTTAGTGCTTTTTAAATTTACCTCGATGGATGCTATATTTTTGGATTCGTTACGAATTCCCAAGTTAAACTGCGTTTTCCAAAAAGTTCCCCGACGTCAAGGATTCTTAGCAAAAGGACCTCAAAGTTCGAAAAATTCAGAAATTGGCCAACTTTCTAAAGCTCTCAGAG